TCCACCCAAATGCGCCCGCTTCTTTAAAAAATCATAACTTCCAAACTTTCCCAAGAGGCCCTTTGAAATTTCCCTCACTCTTAGAAGACAATTGATTCTACTCATGGGGAAAGTTTCACTAAAATCCCCCAAAATGTCGATTTTTGCCCGCGCATCAAATATTGACTTCAACATTGAAACTTCCACTCAAATGCGCCAGATTCTTAAAAAAACCGTAACTTCCAAACTTCGCCAAGCGGCTCTTTGAAACTTCCCCAACTCTTAGAACACAATCGATTCTACTCATGAGGAAAGTTTCATTAAAATCCCTCACACGTTCGATTTTTGCCCGCCCATTAAACATTGACTTCAACATTGAAACGTCCACCCAAATGCGCCCGCGTCTTTAAAAAATCGTAACTTCCAAACTTCCCCAAGTGGCCCTTCGAAATTTCGCCAACTCCTAGAAGACACTTGATTCTACTTATGGGGAAAATGTCGCTGAAATCCCCCGGAAACTGGGGCAATCCCCACTCCCCCAACCATGGCGAACAAAAACACATCAGTCCATGCCACTCCCTTTAATGCAAACTATCAGCAAACCTGAACAGAAAATCCTAGGCAAGGCTCTGGAAGACCACCTGGTAGGGCTGGGGACTCAGGGTGATCCCACAGACGCCCTCCAGCTCCGGCTCGCCCACCACCTGCACCCGGAAGCTCTGGAAAAGGCTGGCAGTGAACAGGAACATTATCTCCTTGGCCAGCTCGTCCCCCACACACATCCGCTTCCCTACAAACTTCCCTGGATCAGCCAGCGATCAACAAGTTCCCCACGCCGCCTCCCTTACCAGTCTGGAAGGGCATGAAGAACTCCCCCTTGCAAAAGCGGCCTTCGGCATCCAGAAAGCGGCGTGGGTTGAACCTCTCTGGATCGCGATGCTGCGCCTCATCCATGTGGATGGCCCATTGCAGCAGGAGGATGAGGGAACCCTTAGGGATGCGGTACCCATCGACCTCCAGGTCCTCCAGCGCTCCATGCGGCACGCCTTCAAGCGGGGGAATTGCAGAGAGAGTTTCCCTGGAGCTCCCGGACTTACCCAGAGGAACCACCGAGCGGATGCGCTGCGTCTCCGCAATGCAGGCCTCCAGAAACGGCATCGCTGCCAGGTCCTCCAATGAGGGCGCTCGCTTCCCCACCACCGCCTCAATCTCCAATCGGAGCTCCCGCTGGACGTCCTGGTTGACCCCCAGGAACAGTAGGAACCACCTGGAAGGCGCCAGACGTTTAAGGGGCCTAATCGGGGCTCAACACTACCTCAAAGTGGTCAAAGTGGTGTCGAGCGAAGCGCCGAAGATATCGGCCAGCAGATGGTCCATCTGGCGGTCGCTGTAGAACCGTTGGCCGTCCTCTGTGCCCGATTTGAGGCGCTTTTCCCTGAGGAACTCCTCCAGGAGGCTGGGGAGGGCGTCCAGGCTCTGGTTCCTGTCCAGTGGAACCAAAGGTTCCACTTCTTTGGCCAGCTTTTGGTAGTATTGGTGCGACTTGCGCTGGCCTTCCACCAGGAAGGACATCGTTCGCTTGTAGGTGGGCAGAAATCTGGAAAAGTCCCGAAATTGCCTGGAGGGTGGGAGCATCCTGCTGCCGTGCATATAGTCGGATCAATGACTTTCGAACGTGACGTCACACACGAGTAAGTTGTAAAGCTTTTGCGTCATRAAACTTTTCTAAAAATTTTYAGTTTTTTGCCAAACTCTTTTGTTATCTTGAAGCCCCAAAATGCGTGTTTYATGACTGGGTTTCTCAAAAAAAAAAAAAAATTGAGAAATTAGTTTGAAAGTTTTTTTKTAGTTTTTTGCTGAACTCYTGGATARTCTCAAWMWCTGGTTTCCCAAAAAAAAATGTTTTGAATTTTTTGGCAAWCYGKTTTGGACGTTMAAATCCACTCAGTCTCATCCGAAAAACGTKTKTTTTAGGACCGGAAAATTCGATTTCTCAAAAAACATTGAGAAWTTTTTCCTCAAAATGAAAAAAGTTTTAWWGTTWTCAAAAAACTTGATCTKGAYCGATAAAACTTCTGTTTTACGACTGAGAAAATTCGGTTTCTCAAAAATGCTCATTTTTTTGAGAAATTGTCCATTTTCTGCTATAAGTACGCTGCGGGATTTCCAAAACTGTTCAAACAAAACCTCGACATTTTTGCTTCACRAYTCAAAAYTCAATTTCTCAAAAAACACCAATTTTTTTATTTGTTTGTCATTAAGCCATCAGGRTAATTTTTTGAAAATTTTGTGYCAAACCACTTTGGATATTAAAATCCACTTGATCTCATCCSCAAAATGTGTAATTTATGACAGGAGAACGGGATTTCTCAAAAAAAAATTGAGAAACTTTCTGGAAAAAATGAAAATTTTGAACTCTTGATTATTAATAACTGCTAAAAGCAAACCCTAACTTCTGTTTAACAACCGAGAAAATTCGGTTTCTCAAAAAACGTTGAATTTTGTTGAGAAATTTTTTAATTGTTGCTATTCCCGGGGGATTGCAAAAACTGCTCAAACAAAACCTCGAAATTTTTGCATCACGATTTTGAAAATTTCGTATAAAAAAAATCAAACATTTTTTTGAGAAATTTTCAAAAAAACAATCGAAATAATTTTTGGAATTTTTTTTGCCAAACCGTATTTGATATTAAAATTCACTCGGCCCCATCCGCAAAATGTGTGTTTGATGACCGAAAATTTTTTTTTTTAATTGAGCGCTTGTATATTAATAACTGATAACGTTAAAAATTCTGTATTAAAAGTGAAAATTCTCAAAAATCTCAAAAAATACCAGTTTTTTTAGATATTTTCCATTTGTTGCTATTGCCCGTGGCATTTCAAAAACTGCTCAACCCAAACCCCGAAATTTTGGTTTCTCAAAAAAATCAATACATTTCTTTAAAATTTGGTTTCTCAAAAAATCTATGAAATTTTTTTTTCTTGAAAAATGTTGAATTTTGACCAAACCGTTTTGGATATTATAATCCACTCAGTTTCATAACTAGAAAGATGGGTTTTTCAAAAAAAAATAAGAATTTTTTCTGATTTTTTATCAAATTTTTGTTAAAAAACAATCGAGTTAATTTGTTGAAATTGTTTCATTAATTACTGCTAAATGCAAACCCTAAAACTACTGTTTAACGACTGAGAAAATTCGATTTCTCAAAAAATGCAGAATTTTTTTTTTTTTAATTTTCAATTTTTTGGGGTTTCGAAACTGTTTGTTCTGTGCGCGAACAAAACCTTGAAATTTTTGCTTCACGATCTTGAAAATTTGGTTTCTCAAAAAAACATTGAATTTTTTTTTGGAAATTTGGTTTCTCAAAAAAATTAAGAAACTTTTTCAAAATTTTCGAAAATTTTTGCTGAACCCTGCTGGATCTTAAAATCCGCCCAATCTCAACCCCAAAATGAATGTTTCATAACTGAAAAACTGGACTTTTTTAGTTTTTTACTGAATTTTTAGGTTATGTTGAAGAGAAAACTGTGCTTTATTGACAGGAGAGTTTTGCGATCAACTTTTAGGGACGTTTTTGGAAGAATTTTCGCATTTTTAAATCTTCAACTGGAAATTTCCGCTTTGGCAAAAGTTGCAGGTACTTTTTCCAATCTGCCTCCTCCAGAAACCAGAGGACCGACAGAGTTGATTTTTGGCTCATTTTGTACACGAGAGTGTGCTTTATTTACTACAAAAAATTGACATTTTCCTTTGGGGCAGTTTTTTGGAGATTTTGATCAATTTTCTAACGTCCACTAGGAATTTTCTATTTCAGAAATTTTGCAAGTGGTTTTTCCAAAATGCCTCCTCAAGAAACTGGAGGATGTAGAGAGTTGATTTTTGGCTCACTTTGTACAGAAGAGTGTGCTTTGGTTACCACAAAAAAATTACATTTTACTTTGGGGGAGTTTTTTGGAGATTTTGGTCAATTTTCAAACCTTCACTAGCAATTTTATGCTTCAGAAATTTTGCAAGAGATTTTTCCAAAATGCCTCCTCAAAAAGCCAGAGGATGTTGACAATTGATTTTGGCCCATTTTGTACAGAAGAGGTTGCTTTATCTACTACAAAAAATTGACATTTTCCTTTGGGGCAGTTTTTTGGAGATTTTGATCAATTTTCTAATGTCCACTAGGAATTTTCTGTTTCAGAAATTTTGCAAGTGGTTTTTCCAAAATGCCTCCTCAAGAAACTGGAGGAT